GGTTTGAGGAGAAAAGACAAAAAAAAGGGGATAAACGGCGGCCTGGAGGGGAAAAAAGGGGGATAAACGGCGGCCTGAGGGGGGAAAAAGGGGAATAAATAGATTTTTGAGGGGAAAAAAAAAGGGGATAAATAGCGGGGGGGGGACAAAATGGCGGCCTGAGGGGAGGGGGGGAGGAGACAAAATGGCGGCGGCGGCGGCGGCTTCACGTGAGGAGGGGAGGGGTCACGTGAGGAGGGAACGGGTCACGTGAGGGGGGAGTGGGTCACGTGAGGGAGAGGTCACGTGAAAGGCCCCAAGATGGCGGAGGAGGAGCCGCTGCTGCCGGGTGAGGCCCGGGCCCTGCCCCATAGATCGGCTCCTGCCCCATAGATCCGCCCCACAACCGCCTCCTGCCCCATAGATCGGCCCCTGCCCCATAGATCTGACCCATAACCGGCTCCTGGACCCATAACCTGCCCCATAACCAGGCCTCAGACCCATAACCGGCCCCATAAGTGGCTCCCAGCCCCATAGATCTGCCCCACAACCACCTCCTGCCCCATAGATCGGCTCCTGCCCCATAGATCTGACCCATAACTGGCTCCTGACCCATAACCTGCCCCATAACCAGCTCCCAGCCCCATAGATCTGCTCCATAACTGGCCCCTGCCCCATAGATCTGACCCATAACTGGCTCCTGGACCCATAACCTGCCCCATAAATGGCTCCTGCCCCATAGATCTGCCCCATAACTGGCCACTGACCCATAACCGGCCCCATAAGTGGCTCCCAGCCCCATAGATCTGCCCCACAACCGGGTCCTGCCCCATAGATCTGACCCATAACTGGCCCCTGACCCATAACCTGCCCCATAACCAGCACCCGGACCCATAACCTGCCCCATAACTGGTTCTTGCCCTATAGATCTGCCCCATAACCAGGCCTCAGCCCCATAGATCTGCCCCATAACCAGCTCCTGCCCCATAGATCGGCTCCCTCCCCCCAGATCCGACCCCTAACCCACCCCCCCACCCCCATAGATCTGCCCCATAAGTGGCTCCTGACCCATAACCGGCCCCATAAGTGGCTCCCAGCCCCATAGATCTGCCCCACAACCGGGTCCTGCCCCATAGATCGGCTCCTGCCCCATAGATCTGACCCATAACTGGCTCCTGACCCATAACCTGCCCCATAACCAGCTCCCAGCCCCATAGATCTGCTCCATAACTGGCCCCTGCCCCATAGATCTGACCCATAACTGGCTCCTGACCCATAACCTGCCCCATAACCAGCACCCGGACCCATAACCTGCTCCCAGACCCATAGATCTGCCCCACAACCGCCTCCTGCCCCATAGATCAGCTCCTGCCCCATAGATCTGACCCATAAACAGCTCCTGGACCCATAACCTGCCCCATAACCAGGCCCCAGCCCCATAGATCTGACCCATAACTGGCTCCTGCCCCATAGATCTGACCCATAAGTGGCCCCCTGACCCATAACCTGCCCCATAAGTGGTTTCCAGCCCCATAGATCTGACCCACAACTGGTTCTTGCCCCATAGATCTGACCCATAACTGGCTCCTGACCCATAACCTGCCCCATAAGTGTCCACTGACCCATAACCTGCCCCATAACCAGCCCCCAGACCCATAACCTGCCCTATAAGTGGCTCCCAGCCCCATAGATCTGCCCCACAACCGGGTCCTGCCCCATAGATCGGCTCCTGCCCCATAGATCTGACCCATAACTGGCTCCTGACCCATAACTGGCCCCATAAGTGGCTCCCAGCCCCATAGATCTGCCCCACAACCGGGTCCTGCCCCATAGATCGGCTCCTGCCCCATAGATCTGACCCATAACTGGCTCCTGACCCATAACTGGCCCCATAAGTGGCTCCCAGCCCCATAGATCTGCCCCACAACCGGGTCCTGCCCCATAGATCGGCTCCTGCCCCATAGATCTGACCCATAACTGGCTCCTGACCCATAACTGGCCCCATAAGTGGCTCCCAGCCCCATAGATCTGCCCCACAACCGGGTCCTGCCCCATAGATCGGCTCCTGCCCCATAGATCTGACCCATAACTGGCTCCTGACCCATAACTGGCCCCATAAGTGGCTCCCAGCCCCATAGATCTGCCCCACAACCGGGTCCTGCCCCATAGATCGGCTCCTGCCCCATAGATCTGACCCATAACTGGCTCCTGACCCATAACTGGCCCCATAAGTGGCTCCCAGCCCCATAGATCTGCCCCACAACCGGGTCCTGCCCCATAGATCGGCTCCTGCCCCATAGATCTGACCCATAACTGGCTCCTGACCCATAACTGGCCCCATAAGTGGCTCCCAGCCCCATAGATCTGCCCCACAACCGGGTCCTGCCCCATAGATCGGCTCCTGCCCCATAGATCTGACCCATAACTGGCTCCTGACCCATAACTGGCCCCATAAGTGGCTCCCAGCCCCATAGATCTGCCCCACAACCGGGTCCTGCCCCATAGATCGGCTCCTGCCCCATAGATCTGACCCATAACTGGCTCCTGACCCATAACTGGCCCCATAAGTGGCTCCCAGCCCCATAGATCTGCCCCACAACCGGGTCCTGCCCCATAGATCGGCTCCTGCCCCATAGATCTGACCCATAACTGGCTCCTGACCCATAACTGGCCCCATAAGTGGCTCCCAGCCCCATAGATCTGCCCCACAACCGGGTCCTGCCCCATAGATCGGCTCCTGCCCCATAGATCTGACCCATAACTGGCTCCTGACCCATAACTGGCCCCATAAGTGGCTCCCAGCCCCATAGATCTGCCCCACAACCGGGTCCTGCCCCATAGATCGGCTCCTGCCCCATAGATCTGACCCATAACTGGCTCCTGACCCATAACTGGCCCCATAAGTGGCTCCCAGCCCCATAGATCTGCCCCACAACCGGGTCCTGCCCCATAGATCGGCTCCTGCCCCATAGATCTGACCCATAACTGGCTCCTGACCCATAACTGGCCCCATAAGTGGCTCCCAGCCCCATAGATCTGCCCCACAACCGGGTCCTGCCCCATAGATCGGCTCCTGCCCCATAGATCTGACCCATAACTGGCTCCTGACCCATAACTGGCCCCATAAGTGGCTCCCAGCCCCATAGATCTGCCCCACAACCGGGTCCTGCCCCATAGATCGGCTCCTGCCCCATAGATCTGACCCATAACTGGCTCCTGACCCATAACTGGCCCCATAAGTGGCTCCCAGCCCCATAGATCTGCCCCACAACCGGGTCCTGCCCCATAGATCGGCTCCTGCCCCATAGATCTGACCCATAACTGGCTCCTGACCCATAACTGGCCCCATAAGTGGCTCCCAGCCCCATAGATCTGCCCCACAACCGGGTCCTGCCCCATAGATCGGCTCCTGCCCCATAGATCTGACCCATAACTGGCTCCTGACCCATAACTGGCCCCATAAGTGGCTCCCAGCCCCATAGATCTGCCCCACAACCGGGTCCTGCCCCATAGATCGGCTCCTGCCCCATAGATCTGACCCATAACTGGCTCCTGACCCATAACTGGCCCCATAAGTGGCTCCCAGCCCCATAGATCTGCCCCACAACCGGGTCCTGCCCCATAGATCGGCTCCTGCCCCATAGATCTGACCCATAACTGGCTCCTGACCCATAACTGGCCCCATAAGTGGCTCCCAGCCCCATAGATCTGCCCCACAACCGGGTCCTGCCCCATAGATCGGCTCCTGCCCCATAGATCTGACCCATAACTGGCTCCTGACCCATAACTGGCCCCATAAGTGGCTCCCAGCCCCATAGATCTGCCCCACAACCGGGTCCTGCCCCATAGATCGGCTCCTGCCCCATAGATCTGACCCATAACTGGCTCCTGACCCATAACTGGCCCCATAAGTGGCTCCCAGCCCCATAGATCTGCCCCACAACCGGGTCCTGCCCCATAGATCGGCTCCTGCCCCATAGATCTGACCCATAACTGGCTCCTGACCCATAACTGGCCCCATAAGTGGCTCCCAGCCCCATAGATCTGCCCCACAACCGGGTCCTGCCCCATAGATCGGCTCCTGCCCCATAGATCTGACCCATAACTGGCTCCTGACCCATAACTGGCCCCATAAGTGGCTCCCAGCCCCATAGATCTGCCCCACAACCGGGTCCTGCCCCATAGATCGGCTCCTGCCCCATAGATCTGACCCATAACTGGCTCCTGACCCATAACTGGCCCCATAAGTGGCTCCCAGCCCCATAGATCTGCCCCACAACCGGGTCCTGCCCCATAGATCGGCTCCTGCCCCATAGATCTGACCCATAACTGGCTCCTGACCCATAACTGGCCCCATAAGTGGCTCCCAGCCCCATAGATCTGCCCCACAACCGGGTCCTGCCCCATAGATCGGCTCCTGCCCCATAGATCTGACCCATAACTGGCTCCTGACCCATAACTGGCCCCATAAGTGGCTCCCAGCCCCATAGATCTGCCCCACAACCGGGTCCTGCCCCATAGATCTGACCCATAACTGGCTCCTGACCCATAACCTGCCCCATAAGTGTCCACTGACCCATAACCTGCCCCATAACCAGCCCCCAGACCCATAACCTGCCCTATAAGTGGCTCCCAGCCCCATAGATCTGCCCCACAACCGGGTCCTGCCCCATAGATCGGCTCCTGCCCCATAGATCTGACCCATAACTGGCTCCTGACCCATAACTGGCCCCATAACCAGCTCCCAGCCCCATAGATCCGCCCCACAACCACCTCCTGCCCCATAGATCGGCTCCTGCCCCATAGATCTGACCCATAAGTGGCTCCTGACCCATAACCTGCCCCATAACT